TTATACAAGGGTATTTTGTATTCCTGATTATTTAATATATTTCTCATACCAAGCTTCATTCGACATATCTTAAAAAAGAAAAAGATGTAATCATGGAAATGCCAACCTGAGTAGAAATTATGTATGAAGCATTCTCTTAACATTTCGTAGCTTGAAAATGGACACACTCATGCTCCTTGAACACAAGCTATTGGCCAGCCAGCAGTGACACGGTGCCCATGGCTCAGAGCTAAAATCCCATGTCTAGGCAGCAGCCTCAGGCCTTCATGTATTAGGCTTAGGAGGCCTTCAAGGGACTATGTGACCAGGGCTGTGTACATCAGCATCAGCGCACAGCAGATGCTACCTCTGTAACGTCTTGATAGGCAGCCTAGAGGTGTCCTACCCCACCAATTGTTCCTTCTCTGCACATAAAGCAGAAGAGCTCTAGATATTTTCACCTCCAGCTCCTTCCACTGGTTGAGCATAGGTGTCAGTCAGTCAGTCCTTGGGCAACTTCTGGATGTTTCTCATCCTACACTCCTTAGACTACATCACCTTTCCTGTAGACCGTAACATCTCAAGACAGACCATGAGAGGATTCTCTCCAAATTGCCAATATCTCCCAAGTCCTGTGAGCTTCAGAAGGCACATACCTGAACACCATGAAGCAAGCACAGGATTTCCAGGTATTCATGAACAAGAATTATAGGTACATGGTTAATATAATGGTAACCAGCCATGCCCAGCTGCAGCTCACTGACATTTTTACCTGGTTACCCAAGTGTAGGCATGATACCTCCACATGGTCCAGTTATTCCTCCTCAGTAATTACATTACATTGAGTTCACTCCCAATGGCTGCCAGGCAAGGTGTTATACCTTCTTGGCCCCTACCATATCCCTACAGGCTTCCCAGCTAGGGTCTTGCAGAAAGCATGCTGTGGAGAGGTGGTAGATCTATAGCTGGCAGCAAGCTTCTCCTCCATGCCCAGATAAGACTGCCAGGTGGTGAGGACTTCCCCTCACCCAAAATCTAGTATTTGGGCCTTTGTGAATTCTCAAGGATTTCTTCACCAGAAAATTGGCATGAGTTGGAGTGGAAGGAAGTAGCAGATTATGTGGATTCAGGGCCCTCTGGAACCATGTGTGGACTCAGGGCCAGAGGTAAACATATGGATTTTCCTGGTCCATGTCTCTGGAATTTGCTTCTTGGAGCCCTGGTGCTCCTGTTTGCTCCTGAAGGCACACATCCTGACAGTTCCCTCCTGGCAAGAGAGGATCCCTAAAGGAGTTCCAGGTGGTTTTCTTCTCTTACTAACTCTGGATGTGGGGATCCTTAAGGGAAGACAGAGGTTAAATATGCTCTGTTGCCATCAGGAACATCTGCTGTTGGCTATGGTTGAAGGTAGGTGCCAATGAGAAAACGTAGATTCAGGGGCTCCCTTTGTCCCTGTAATGCCAGTGGCTGGGCCTGGCTTGTGTATGCATGATTTCCAACATCGGTTGAAGGCAGGTGCCAATGAGAAAAAGGTAGATTCAGGGGCTCCCTTTGTCCCTGTAATGCCAGTGGCTGGGCCTGGCTTGTGTATGCATGATTTCCAACATCTTTGAGACAGTGGACCAGATGCTCAGGACCTTCCACTACAAGAATGGGCAAATAGGCATGAAATGCTTCATTTCCTCCACAGCCTTTTGGCCATGTTCTTCATTGTCAGAGATGTGGGGCAATACAGGAGAAGCATAAGATGACTGCCCTACGGGATGAGGAAGTCTCCTGGCCCTGGAAGGCCTTGGACATAGACAAGAATGCCCAGAGATTGTCTATCCTGGCACCCTACATGGAGGGATTTCAGTATGATGAAGCCCCATAAACTCACCCTCCCAGGTGCTGACTTTCTTGGCTGTGGCCCTGCAGCCACCATGACTAAACCTGTGATGGTGGAAGCAGGGAGGCAGTGAAAAGGTGAGGAAATGGGCTGTACTCCTTGAAGGTGGACTCTGCATCTCTAAAATAAGTAAAAATTTGTTTTGTTTGGGGTTTTTTGGAGGTTGGCAGTCTGTAAAGACTAGTATCATTAAAAGCTTCTGAGCTTTTGAGAGAAGAGGCATGCCCTTGTCAGTATGTGTCCCCGTTCCCCTGCCCTGCCCTGCCCTGCCCTGCCCTGCCTTGTGGTGTACTCCTGGAGTGCACTGCTCTCCCCACCAACCTTGTGGAGTGGCTGAGTTGTGAGTGCCTGTTTGCACCCAATACTGGGAAAGTGGCTGCCATTTGATGAGGTACGTGAAGCTTTCTTCAGACAACCAACAGAAGTTTACAGGTCACCCCCTGGTTCTTATGGGGAACTTCAATCACCCTGACATCTTCTGAGCAGACAATACAGGAGTGCACAGGCAATCCAGGAAGTTTTTGGAGACAACTTCCTGGTGCAAGTGTTGGAGAGACAAATAAAGGGCTGTCATCTTCTTGACCTACTGCTCACAAAGAGAGAAAATTTTGTGGGGGGATGTAGAAATGGATGGCAACGTGGATTACAGAAGAGCAGACTTTGACTCCTTCAGGGAACTGATGGGCAGGATCCCCTGGTAAACTAGTCTACGGGGGATGGGACTCCAGGAGAGCTGGCTGTACTTGAAAGAAACCTTACTGAGGGTTCAGGAACAAACCATCCTGATGTGCAGGAAGAATAGCAAATGTGGCAGGTGACCAGCTTGGCTTAGCCAAGAGCTCTTCGGTGAGCTTAAACACAAAAAGGAATCTTACAAACAGTGGAAGCTGGGACAAACAACTTGGGAGGAGTATAAGAGAATTGCTTGGGCATGAAGTCAGGAAGGCCAAAGTGTAATTGGAGTTGCAGCTAGCAAGGAACATGAAGGGTAACAAGAAAGGTTTCTACAAGTATATTAGGGGCAGTGTGGGCCCCTTACTGAATGGGGGAGACAACCTAGTGACAGATGAGAAGGAAAAGGCTGATGTACTCAATGACATTTTAACTCAGTCTTCCCAGGTGAGGTCAGCTCCCAGACTACTGCACTGAGCAGCACAGTTTGGAGAGAAGGTGAGTTAAACAGTCCTCAGTGGTGAAAGAACAGGGTACGGACTATTTAGAAAAGCTGGACGTATACAAGTCCATGGGGTCAGATGCAAAGCATCTGATGGTGCTGAGGGAATTGGCTGATGTCATTGCAGACCCACTGATTATTATTTTTGAAAACTTGTGGTGAACAGGGGAGGTCCTGGAAAAGGGCAAATATAGTGCCCATCTTTAAGAAAGAGAAGAAGGAAATGGGGAAGTTAACTGTATTCTGGTGTTTTGGTGGCCTCCTTGTATTATTTCTGAGCATGATTGGGATGGCAAATTTAGGCTGGATGTCATTTTTCAGGCTAAGAGGGCGGCACCTCTGTGACACCTAAGAAATTTAGGCACCCAAACAGGATTCAGTGTTTTGTAGGTTACAGTAAAATGCTATTTCCGTGCTTCGGAGCATTAGAAAAATGATAGAATTCCACCCTCAATATTTTGAATAGTAACAAGTATTAAAAATCTTTCTGTCATCCTCTTTATTGGTTGATCTACTAGAAAATTGCAGTGAGTGCTTTAAAAGTGACTAATTACACTGTCTCATTCCAGAAGGATGACACACCCATATACAAATGGCACTAAAGCTCATGGAAGCACATTACTTCTTGACCCTCACCTTATAGGAAATATAAAGTGTGTATAAAACACTATGACTAACAACTGCAGAGTGATTAAGAAGACGGAGTACCTACTAATGAGACATTCAAATGTTTTACACAAATTTGGAAGTCTCAGACATGAAAATTGTGTTTAAATATGTCAAAAGTTACTGGAAGGAAGAAGATATATATTGTTCTCCAGGTTCGATGAAGATAGGACAGAACATAATTGTCTGAAATATTCAGCAAATGCAGTTTAGGTTAGCAATGGGGAGAAAAAGGAAACACCTGTAAAAATAGCAAAACATTGAAGTAGATTTACTGGTGGGGTGGGGAGGCTGATGACTTTGACACGTCTGGCTTGAAAAAAGGGTCTTGAGGGACAAGTACCTACATGCTTTTGAGGGTCAGACAGACCTTCCTGACACCATTTCTGCAAATGAATTCCTCACACAGAAGAGGTTGGCAATGGGCTGGAGACAACTGAGGTTTGTTAGTTTCCAGAGGACTATCACCACCATTTTCTCCACAGTTTGGGACTCTATACATATCCCCTGTTCACCCTGAAATTTGCACACCACAGCTGATCGCCCCATGAGAACAACACTCTTCATTTCCATGAACCTAAATTGACTCCAGGTTTCAGACCTGCTTAGGTATGGTGTGCATGTAAATCCCAAACTAATCATCCATCATTGTGCACAAGATGTTCTCCTCCTCTCCAGCCTCCAGTGTAGATCTGGTGAGAAAGCCAGCTGTTTTTGGAATGTTCCTGTGCTTTCAGAGGCAAGCTAACTTCATGTTGTGACTTTCAAAGCCATGGAAAATCCAACCACAGCTGAAACTGCACCCCAAATTCCTGAAAGCAAAACTCATGTCACGTGTGTATGTTAAGCCACAATGTAGTGAAAACTGCAGGGATAGTAGCCCCCTGGTGAGGCCACGAAGCCTGCCAAGTTTGAAGGAGATAGGTGCAGGGGTTTGTGGGAAACTGCACCTCAAGCTGCAGACAAGCAAAACTCGTGACATGGGTGACACTGTGTGTGTTAAGGCGCAGAAGGGTGAAAGCTGCAGGGATGGTAGCCCCTGCTGAGACCATGAAGCCTTCCAGCTGTCAAGGAGATTGGTGCCCAGGATTCAAGTTAAATGTTTCATACATTGACACTGCTGTGTGTGTGTCAAGACAATTAACCCTGAACTTACTCATTAATTTCCCTCAGTAAGAACAAAAAATATAGGGAATTGCAAGCAACAATATATTTCCTATTACAGACAAAATAAGAATTCAACATTTTCCATTCCTGTACTCTCCTAAAATCAGAGTATTTCATGTTTCACTATCAGAATCCTTTTAAAGACCTTATATGAGGACACATTTCCCTGCCTATTGATTTTTTAAAGGCACTTTTAATCTCCTTGTTCCGTAGGCTGTAAACAATGGGATTGCATACGGGTGTCATCACCGTGTACACTAAGGCAAAGAACCGGGCATTGCCCTGAGTATGGCTTGAACTAGGTTGCAAATAAACTACTGTTCCTGTTCCATAGAAAAGAGAAACCATGATAAGGTGTGAAGAGCAGGTAGAGAAAGCTTTGCGTCTGCCTTTGACTGAGGGCATCTTGAGAATAGTGGATATGATGAGGGTGTAGGAAAAGAGGATGAGAAGGAATGGGACCATTACATAAGGCACAGTAAGAGCAGTAACAGACACTTCATTCATGTAGGTGTCTGTAGAAGGCAGCCGCATCACAAGAACAATGTCACAGAAGAAATGGCTGATTTGATTTGACCCACAAAAGGGCTTTGTAAATATTGAATAAAAATGCCAAATAGCCATGCAAATGCTAATATTCCATGAAAAGGCAGACATCTGAGCACAAATTCTGCGAGTCATGATAAGGGTGTATTGTAGAGGTTTGCATATGGCAACATATCTATCATACGCCATGACAGAAAGGAGGAAACATTCGGTAGAAGCCAAGATATTGAAGAAAAACATCTGAAACCCACAGCCCATTAATGTGATTGTTGGGGTTTCTGACAGTAGATCCACCAGCATCTTGGGGAGGATTACAGAAGTATAGCAGACCTCCAGAAAGGAGAAATTCCCGAGGAAGAAATACATGGGGGTGTGAAGGGCAGGGTCCCTGAGAATAAGGAATACTATTAGCATGTTCCCTGTGAGGGCTGCCACATAGGATATGGACACCAGAACAAAGAGCAGGGTCTGCATTTCTTGGAAATCTGAAAATCCGAGCAATACTATCTCCTTCACACAAGTCTGGTTAGCTGTCCCCATCCCATTCAAGTAGCAGAGTTCTGAAGAGATTAAGAAATCTGCAGACAAGAAAGACACAAACACAATCAATAAACACTGTTATGAATGACTGACTTACCAGCAATAGTCAGCTATGAAAGATAGATGTTCTACATTTTTTGGTGAAATTTAAGGAAGTACTTTCTTCATCAAGAAATAGGTGGGTTTTTTTACCAACCAGTCAACAAGGTATCTCATGCTAAGATTTGATCGTACAGACTTCTCTGCCTGGGGAAGTCCAACTAGGATGTGAATTTACAACATACTAACTATTCTGCACTAACTCCTTATCTGGACACATTTAGCATGTACTAAATGGAGCTGGCTACCTTGCATAAATGCACCGTATGATCGCACTGTATTATTTTATGGTCATCAACGTGGTCACAGTTTGGTTGTCTACTTGGCATTTTTGGAACTTATGTATCCAGAGGTTTTCTGTTGCTGGAGATGCAATTCTATGCAGGTGAACAACTACATACATTGATTGAGTAGTGACCCATGTGCATTGCCAGAACTGCAGACTACTAGGATTAGCCTCAGGAAGGGAAAAGGCGAGTGGGTCCTTCTGTCGCCCAATTGCTAGGGTACTCCCTTGAGATCCTGGAGGTCTCAGGCTGTAGGTGCCTCCTCAACACGAGTGGGGTGGAACCAGGGTTTCCCTTGCTTCCCAGCTCAGCACTCTGACCACAGATCAGGCTGGGGCACTCACCTAGGACACTGAAAGGCTCCAAGGGCTTAAACCAGGCCACTTCTACTTCCCAGCACAGCACTCCAGGCACCACACTGAAGGCCAGACAGAATCCACTGCCTTCTCCAACAAGCTGTTTCAAGCTGAGCCACTAAGGGACTCACTGCAAAAAGTGAAGAGGGGAAACTTGTGTCTTGCTGGGAACAAGGATCTAGGTAGAGGACCTTCTCTCCTACAGTCCCATAGCCACCTCACTGGGTCATACACCCTCTGCCTTGCTCCTTCTCCTTGGCTCTGCTTTCTCTTACACCCCTCCTTCTTGTGCCCAGGCAATCCAGCTTCAAAAGAGCACCAGAGAAAGGGATGCCTAATATCTGACCCCTTAGTACCATTGAATCCAGTCCCTTGTTGCAGTAGGCAACCACATGACATATCAATTGCTTAATAAACTGATTGAGCACCATTCTAAACCTCATGACATTTTTGCCTCTGTTGGAAGGCAGTCCCAGTACTGCTTTTTCTGTGTTGATTTAAACATTCAATCCTAAACTAATGCACTGTTTATGCACTTTAACTCTCATACCAACCATTTCCTCTACAGTTAAATTCTTGAATCTCACTGTATAAAATCATTTGTGAAAAACCAGGGATGTCATAAGCCTTCAGTGAGAGCCCAGCTTTGCATCTGAAACATATCTGCAAAATATACTAAATCTAATCAAATAACAGAAGAGATAAAAGTGATTCTCTGTTTTAAAGGAATATGAGACTTCCTCTGATGCCTTCCGACCTGGTTAAGTAGTGAAAAATAAATACAAGTAACATGTTATGCTTTTCTTTTCTCATGACACTAGCATCTGCTGTACTTATTCTATACTGGATCCCCGTTGACTTAGACACTGAAAGTATACAAACTAGATATGAGGCAGACCCCATCTCAAAGAGATTTTACACTCCAGATTAGCAGGCTGAAAAAACAGAAGACTTGAAAGACCAAAGACTTTCTCCCACTATTTCCTAGTTTATGTCCACACACTGTATTTGAGCTAGCCTGGTTGTGTGATGAAGTAATGGAATTTCAGTTTTCAATAAAAATACCCTCTAATCCCTAATCTTAACAAGAGTGAAAGCTATTAGCATAGATGTATCAATCAGTTAATCCAACCCACAAAACATTAACACAGCCCACACATATATGAACTCCTTCCATTCCAGTAATAACACATACAGGAGTGGGGGACTAGAATAGACCTCCCGGGTTTCTGAGCCCTGTTTTCTTGTTTTTAGAGGCAACACAATCATATAAATCCCTCCCATATATTTATCGAATCCTAATACCAGGCACAAAAACCCACTAACATGTTTCTCATCATGTCTCTGCATAATCAGATTTAGCAAATCTTCCTTCCTTGTCTTTACGTTGCAAATGCCATCTAATAGGATCAGGATTGAAAAGGTCTTTTTAAAACCTCTTGAGATCAGAAGGGATTGGGGGCCGAAAGGGAGACAATGACAGTTCCCTAAGGAAGTTGCACAACAAAGCAGCTCAGGGTTCTCTTCTTTGCTTTCTCCAAATTAATGCTTAGGGAAAAGGAATAAACTGACAGCTCCAGTGGTTGGACTTTTTTGTTTACAGACAATGGGTAGTAATCGATGGAAGTCACTCATCATGGTGTCCTGTGACCAGTGGGGTCCCCCAAGGCTCTGTCCTTGGACCCATCCTGTTCAACATCTTCATTAATGATGTGGACACTGGAGTCAGAAGCGGACTGGCCAAGTTCGCCGATGACACCAAACTTTGGGGCAAAGCATCCACACC